ATTTCACAAATCACTATCCATAAATTGAACGAATGGGGTTGAAGTTCTACCTCAACCGCCATATTCTTCAGACCTTTCGCCAACCGACTATCACCTTTTCTAACATTTTCAGAACTCCCTTGCTGGAAAATACTTCATCAATCAGGACCAGGCAAAAAAGCCTTAGTGGATTTCGTGAATTTTCGACCACCCAGTTTTTGATGATGGATTTCTCGACTGCTGTCACATTGGCAAAAGTGTGCTGATTCGAATGGTGCCTATTTCGATTAAATCCGATGAGTATTAAAAAAGTTACGATCGTTTAAAGTGAAACACCCAAAACGCTGAGAACTTTCCGGACAACCTAATAATACGTTAAGGGCTTAATGTTGATGCTAACCAAGGAAACAACATTCTGCTACCCGCGCACCTTATACCACAAGTGATGGGCGTCAAAGATTGCAAATCATTCAGATCCTCTGTTGGTCGCATAACAGAAAACCATAAGAAACTAACATTGCACTTTGGCTAGAAACTCGCCTCATTGGTAAGTTGGCCTAAACACGTCCGTTTAGGGCGAAAATACCCGCGCCACGATACAGAGGCCAGACGGACTACTTTTTCAACAAATCTGGCAACTCTGACCATTATAACTCGCTTAAGGGATATAGAGAACAACTGTAACAAGCATTCCAAGCTCCATCGATATAATTATGTCTCTGATCAAAGTTCCATGGGAGCTAGAACCATTTCCTAGCAAGAAATCATGATCAGAAAAAAAAGACCAAAGTTGATTGAACCGTAATCCTAAACCATATGAACTCGCCTCTTCATTGATCCATATAACATCCACATCTACATCCGTCAGGTTGAGGAAACGAACATAAACCTGAAAAAATCAATTCACATATTTTCAATTCAAAGGCGAATTTGTTTCTAGTAGATTGGGTAAATTAAAGCAAAGAAATCGCAAGTTCGAAAAAAAGAAGGCCGCATTATAGCAGGAGGACCTCTCGGCTGCGCCTCTGTATCCCTTCTCCAAAAGTCTCAAAGGTCAGACGACCAGTGTCGGCAAGCCGAGGTGTGTCTCGCAGAGAAGACTTAGTCTCCACTAGATCTAAGCCTTGATTACGGGAAGGTGTATGTGCACTCCTATCGGGATGATGGAGGGGGCTCGATTTGATGGACTCCGTTTGAGCATAGCCTAAGATTCGTTTTCGTAGGATATTTCCTTTTGAGACAACTGTCATCCTATCTTGTCCTTAACAGAAACATGATCACAATTGTCTCAAAACAACCAACACCCACCAAAAGCGCAGATACCGCCGACTTCGAATGGAGTACGCAGCCACGCCCCGACCATTTCCGGGCGAATGGTCCCCCAACCGCCGAAAAAATGCATCCATGTCGATTTTATAACTGGGAAATAGCGAAACTGGGAAAACCAAAAAAAAGAGATAATAATGAGATATATAATCGTATATAATCGTTTCCGCCGACTCCGCCCAGTGGAAAATTGTGAAAAAGTGGCGAAATCCCTTATCGCAGATCCACCCAAATTCGAAATTCTTCTGCTCTGCGCAGGCGAAGAATCAGGCCTTACACATGAACTATACCAGGGCACAACTAACATAGTATTCTCTGATATGAGAAAAGATAAACTTACCGCTACCGTAGCAGCGCCGGAACGAATGTTACGAATACCCAGACCAGCGGCATTGATATTCTGACGGGCATATCGTTGAACCTCTCCATCCATTTACAAGGCAACAGCCTAATAATACTTACTATTAATAAGATATTATGTTTCAGAGAAAAACATCAACAGCACAAAAACTACAGGGGAAATCAGGCACATGAAAACGAATG